TTTTTAATGTTCTACCATGTTAAATCTAATGTTCTCTTTTTTCTTCTCTGCTTCCAAAGGGAAAAGTTTACAATTTATTATTGGTGCATTATTTGGATGAAAACTTATTGTTATTTTAACTAGTCAGTTAATTTTTGTGTTTTTTTTTTCTCCTCAGGTTTCACTGTTTGTAGATTTTATGTATTTTTTTATATACATATTTGTAGGAATGAGTTACAGGGTCTAGCATGTCATAATGGTTAACAGCATAATGTCTGAGTTGACAGTTTAAATGCTAATTTAAGTCAATCTGAGTTTAAATATTACTTTTGCAACTTATATTGTACATTTTTGCACAATATGTCCTCTTTCAAACAAACAAATAAAAAAACAAACTCATGGCCATATAGTCGATTCTGACTCAGTGACCCTCTTTAGGTTTCTGAGGCAGTAAATCTTTATATCTTCCTTCCATGAAGTGGGTGATGGGTTTGAACTACCAACTTTCTGGTTAGCAGTCAAATGCCATAGGCACTATGCCAGCAGAACTCCTTTAGGTTTCCTTGAAAGTGGAATGAGAGGTATTATCAGGAGAGAAGAAAATGAACCATGTAACTTGTTAGTAGGAATTTAATGTTTAATAAATATTAGTCATTATAAACATTCTTTAATCCTGAAGCACCTCAAAATATAATAGAACTACTCAACTGGTCCTAAATGTTATTCTAATTTTCTTTGAGCTTTAGAAGATATAGTCCATTATTTTCTCTATCCCTACTTCAAAGAAGAATAAATACACTGAAATCTGACTGGCATAATAGGAGCTCTTGGAGAATGTAATTGGATCCAGCATCCTCAGATATTTTTGAAACTGTCTCACGGTTTCTGACACATGAGGCATGTCTTTGACCGCGTGTCTTCATGGCCTTGAAGCTGATTGTTTGTAGGTCTAATTTCCTCCTGACCAGCTGGGAAACCCCTGGGACCTTTTTTTGGTACATTTTATTCATCTAAAAATGATAACAACATTACCTACCTCATAAAACAGTTGACCCAATTAAATGGATTAATATACATTAAGAGGTTATAACAGTGCCTGTTGTTGTTATTAGTTGCTTTCGAGTCAGCTCTGGCTCATGGGGATGGTATGAAGAACATAATGAAACAGTGCACAGTCCTGGGCCATCCTCACAGTGCTTTCTCTACCTGACTCCATTGTTGCAGCCACTGTTCAATCTACGTTGTTGAAGGCCTTTCTTTTTTTCGCTTACCCTCTACTTTACAAAGCATGATATCCTTCACCAGGGATCGATCACTTTTGACAACATGACCAAAGTGGGTGAAATGGTCATTCTCACTTTCAAGGAGCATTCTAGCTGCCCTTCATCCAGGACAGATTTGTTTGTTCTTCTGGCAGCCCATGGTATTTTCAGTATTTTTGCCAACATCACAACTGAAAAGGCATCAACTCTTCTTCAGTCTTTTGTACTCATTACCCAGCTTTCCTATGCATTGGAGGTGATTAAAAATACCATGGCTTAGGTTGGGTGTACCTTGGTCTTCAACGTGACGTCTCTGTTCTTTAAAACTTTAACGAGGTCTTAGTGCAGTACAACCTCTTGTTACTTGACTGTGGCCTCCATGGATGTTGTTTTGTGGATCCAAGTAAAATGAAATCCCTCACAAATTCAAAATTTCCTCCATTGATAATGATGTTGATTTTCGGTCCAGTTGTAAGGATTTTTGTTTTCTGGATGTTGAGCTGAAATCCATGCAAAAGACTGTAGTCTTTGATCTTCATCAGTAAGTGCTTCAAATCATCATCACTTTCAGCAAGCAAGCTTGTGTCATCTGCCTACTGCAGGTTGTTGAAGTCTTCCTCCAACCCTTTCTTCATGTATTCCAGTCAATACAGTTTGAATAAGTATGAGAAAGGATACAACGTTGTTACATGCTCTTCCTGATTTAAAACCATGCAGTATCCTCTTGTTCGGTTTGGATGACAGCTTCTTGGTCTATGTTCAGGTTTCTCTTGAGCACAATTAAATGTTCTAGAATTCCTAATCTCTGTAGTGTTATCCATAATAAGTTATGATCTACACAGTCAAATGCTTTGCATAGCTAATAAAGCACAGGTAAACATCTTTCTGGTATTCTTTGTTTCCAGCCAAGATCCATCTGACATCAGTAATGATATCCCTCATTCCAGGACTTCTTCTGAATCCAGCTTGAATTTCTGGAAGTTCCATGTCAATATACTGCTGCAATCATTTTTGAATTTTCTTTAGCAAGTTTTATTTGCCTGTGATATTAATGACTCTTCTGGTATTTGAAATACCGGTGACATAGCTCACAACAATATGCAAGCCACCATAGTACAACAAAATGATGTATGACAGGTCAACAACAGTGCCTAGCACATAGTTGTTGTTGTTGTTAGGTGCTGTAGCATTGGCTCTGACTCATAGCAACCTTATGTACAACAGAACATAAGAGTGCCCAGCCATGCACTCTCCTCACAATCCTGCCTATACTTGAGTCCATCGTTGCAGCCACTGTGTCAATCCATCTTGTTGAGGGTCTTTCCCCTTTTCCCTGACCCTCTACTTTATAGTGCTTGATACCATTCTTCAAAGACTTGTCCGTTCTGACAACATGACCAAAGTATGAGAGATGAAGGCTGGTCATTATTGCTTCTAAAGGGAATTCTGATTGTTCAAAGTCAGATTTGTTCCTTCTTCTAACCGTCCAAGGAGCATTCAGCATTCTTTGCCAATACCACAATTCAAATCACTTGATACAACTCCACCAATTTTAAAATTGACTAAATGGACAAAAGTGGAGGATTTAGTTATGGCCACTTAGACCTAACCAACTACTAAATATTATTTGATGAATAGTGTTATGATATGGAAGAGTTGAGGTTACGTAGAAATATCCATGTAATAATAAAAACCAAAATGAAATCCATTGTTATGAAGTTGATTTGACTCATAGTGAGCCTGTTGTTGTTGTTGTTATGTGCCAGGGAGTTGTCTCCGACTCATAGAGACCCCTCCTTGGGTTTCTGAGGCAGTGCCACTACAGAAGTAGGTTGCCCAATCTCCCTTTCAAGGAGTGGCTGGTGGGTTTGAACTGCCAACCTGTAGGACAGAGTGAAACAACCCTTAGAGTTTCCAAGGCTGTAATCTTTATGATTGGCACATCTTTCTCCTGCAGAACAGCAAGCGGGTTTAAACAGCCAACCTTTCAGATGGCAAACAAGCACTTAACCACTGCACCAGCAGGGGCTCTTTTTCTATGTAATAATACCAGGGATAAAAACAAAGATGCAAAGTCACACACCCAGTGTGTTTTACAGTGAACTGAACCCAATCCACCATCTCCTCAGTTGGTGATGAAAAAGACTAATCGAGGCAAGATCATGAATGTCTTTGATTACAAATTGCCTACTATATGAGAAGTTAACAAACCATAGGTAAACATCGTGAGAAGAAGATAGTGTTTTATTTTAAGCCTGATTCAAAAGAGAATATTTCACAAGGATCTTATGAAGGAGGCATCTGTCAAATAAAACAATACATTATGACCTATTTATTACATAATCATTTGCATTAATAAGAGATGTGGGAATGGAAACAGCAAAATTCTCAGCATCTTTCTTCACAATGAAATCATCCAAAATAACCCAGTGTCAAATGCTGTATTGTATATTTGAAGCTCATTAATTATGAATTTTGCTAATTTTATGTAAGAAAGGCAGGATCTAGGTCCCTACTACAAGGTCATGATATATATGTAATAAAGAATAATATGAGATATAGAAAAATTACAAAGTTATTGTTAGGTATTTTAAACTATCTACAAAGATTAGCAGATTATCTTTATGGAAATATAACACCAAATAAAGCTGTTCCACTTAAGGAGGTAAGAGACTTTCTCAACTGGGAAATAAGAGCCAGTCATTTTTCTGCATCTCTGCCTTATTCATTCAGATTCATTTTGTGTATTTAACCTCCTTTTGATTAATTTAGAACTCTGAAGCATCCTTCTTCTTAAACCTTAGCATGTGAAGTACTGTAAGCAAAGCTATATATTTAAAATATCTGGCAGATACAAAAATAAAATCATATACTTCTAATGTTAATATGGACTGTCTCTGTCTGGGGATGGGTGAATCACATTTTTATACCTAATTTCAAATTATACAACCTGAAATCTGCAATTTGTTGTTGTTATTTGCCATCAAGTCGGCCCCGACTCATAGCGACCCCTCCTTGGGTTTCCGAGGCAGTATCACTACGGAAGTAGGAATGCCCAACCTTCCTTCCGAGGAGTGGCTGGTGGGTTTGAACCGCCAGCCTTCTGGTTAGCAGTCAAGTGCCTTAGGCACTATGCTACCAGAAATCTGCAATAAGCACTATTAATTGTGAAAAAGATATTAGATTTATTTAAGAAAGAGACTTGAGAATATCATGCACCAACTAAAATGAATTTCTGATATTAACTGAGCTCTGGTAGCATAGTGGCTAAGACACTTGCCTGCTAACCAGACGGCTGGCGGTTCAAACCCACCAGCCACTCCTCGGAAGGAAGGTTGGGCAATCCTACTTCCGTAGTGATACTGCCTCGGAAACCCAAGGAGGGGTCGCTATGAGTCGGGGCTGACTCGACGGCACATAACAACAACAACAACAACAAGTTACCATACAGAACATATACCTATAGATGCAACAGAACCATTCTGCACACACGCACACACACACATACACACACATTTTCCTAGAAAATGAAAATCTTACAATATGTTTTGAAAAAATTTATCATTGGAAGTGTTCCAGTAAATGGTTTTCATCATGCACATGTTATTTAGTGTGAGGAAATATTTTACTACAATTAAATGACTGCACACAGCTTCCCTGGATCTAGTTGATAGCAATGAATTTGAGGTTTTGTTTTGTTTTGTTTTCCTGGAAGGGACAATTCTTTACAAAAAGTAGATTATGCATTTGCTTGCCTCTTCATTTTCTTTTTCTGCTCCAAAGCTTCTTCATGGCATTTTTCATCTCTGTATTTCTCAAAGTGTAGATTAAGGGGTTCAACATAGGGGTTATGACAGTGTAAAAAACAGCCAAGAATTTATCAATGGGTAAGGTGTAGGGAGGTCTCACAAACAGAAAAATACAGGGGACAAAGAAGAGGACCACCACAGTGATGTGGGAGCCACAGGTGGATAAAGCTTTGTGCCTCCCTTCCTGACTAAGGTTCCTCAGGGAGTGCAGAATGACCCCATAGGAGATGAGTAACAGCAAAAAGATGATCACACATATTGTTCCATCATTAGCAATCACAGTGAGACTAATGACATAGGTGTCAGTGCAGGCAAGTTTTAATAAAGGGTACATGTCACAGATGAAGTGGTCAATGACATTGGAGCCACAGAAGGGCAGATTGTAAACAAAGAGCAGGTGAGCTGCCGCATGGACAAAACCTCCAAGCAGAGTCACCAGCAGCAGCAGGACACACTTCCGCTGTTTCATGATGTGCATATAATGCAGGGGTTTGCAGATAGCCACATAGCGGTCATAGGCCATGACAACAAGAAGTAAAATCTCAACGCCACCAAATAAATGTTCTGTGAAAAGCTGAGTCATGCAAGCATGGAAAGAAATGGTTTTCTTCTCATAAAGTAAGTCTAGAATCATATTTGGGATAATTGCAGTAGAATAAGCTGCATCCATAAATGACAAGTGGCTTAGAAAGAAGTACATGGGGGTGTCCAGGGTTGTACTAATCATCACAGTCGCGACAATGAGAAGGTTAGCTGCAATTGTTACAATGTAGATGAGCAAGAACACAACAAATAATATTTTTTGGCCCGGGAGGCTTTGAGTGAGCCCCAGGAGGATAAACTCGGTCATATTGTTCCTTTGTTCCATATGTTCTTCTGTGTGTCCTTATTTCAGAGTTGGGATAAGTTTACCTGTAAATGTAATTATGACTAGTGTATTTTTGAAACCTTAAGATAACTTTGTAATTCATCCCACAAATAGAAATTATGATGTATAATGTTTCAGCACTGTCCAAGATGATAAGACTATGTTGTTGTTGTTATTTGCCAACGAGTCGGCCTGACTCCTAGCGACCCCTCCTTGGGTTTCCGAGGCAGTTATCACTACGGAAGTAGGAATGCCCAACCTTCCTTCCGAGGAGTGGCTGGTGGGTTTGAACCGCCAGCCTCCTGGTTAGCAGTCAAGTGCCTTAGGCACCATGCTACCAGCTGATTAAAAAAAAAAATCCCTATCCTCAGTATCTTATCCAGAGTGAGAAACAAACCAGCAGTTGGAAACATGGAGAAAAGAGCAGATTATGACATAAATGGGGTTGCAAAACTAACTTTCCACGTGGGAGAAAATAAAATTATATGTGTATATATTGGGCAATCCTACTTCCGTAGTGATACTGCCTCAGAAACCCAAGCAGGGGTCGCTATGAGTCGGGGCCGACTCGACGGCACATAACAACAACAACAACATATATATCTACATATCTATCTATCTAGATATGACCAATACTACATATAAAAATAAAGTATAAATAGATGTACTATAAAAATAAAAGAATATTTATATTCACTTTCCTGTTAATAAAATTTCAAAAGCTGTTACTGGCAAGGTACTACTGAACAACACTTTAGTCATTCAAGGTTTATGTACTTACATCATTTTCTAATTATTAACAGATTAAAAAACAATGCTTAAGAGCATGACCATTGATTCTTTTAGGATATTTACAGGTATCTGTGCATGAAAATATCACCCAAATAGTTAACCATGAGATTAGTTTCTGTGAATACTGAAGGTATTCATGTTGTTGTTGTTGTTATGTGCTGTCGAGTCGGCCCCGACTCACAGTGACCCCTCCTTGGGTTTCCGAGGCAGTATCACTACGGAAGTAGGAATGCCCAACCTTCCTTCCGAGGAGTGGCTGGTGGGTTTGAATCGCCAGCCTTCTGGTTAGCAGTCAAGCGCCTTAGGCACTATGCTACCAGAGCTCTTATTCATAGAGAAGGTAAATGTACTCTAGATCTTTATAGTATGAAAATATCTAAAAACATATTGCAGAATTGAGCCAATTTTCATATATTTTATAGATCACAAAGAATTTCTAACATGGCTGATATTTGGAATTACTTTTAAGGACTTGTACAAGATGATGACTTGCCAAATCACATTCCCAATGAACTCTTGCATAACTTAAAGTCTAGTGAAGACTCCTACTATAAAAACACATCCTGGGTTACCTGCATGATGAAACAGTCATTCGATCCAAGTTTTTCAGTTATGTCCTAAAAGATAACAGCTTCATGCACTGATGTCTTCTCTGTGGATGCAGAGAGATAGTCCATGTGCCATCACCAGGCCTAGAAATGTTTCCATGTCACCAACTCTTTCCATGCTTCAGGATATCTGTCTCATCTCTGTCATTCAGAAAATTGTTACCTTTTAAATTGTTAGGATTTTTAACACAAATTTCAAAAACGTCCTGTAATCAAGACAAATTTAAATCTTGATTACAAAGAGAGTCAAATACCCTATTGCTGACACAATTTGTCTTAAAACAAGTAAATGTTAAATAAGCAATATGAGGTTAAAAATTAAAAAATAAATTTTGTGAAAAATTTTTTTTGTGTGTGATAAATACTTTGCACTTTGTGTTTTAAAAGTGGAATGATCTTTGTAACGTGTTGATTCTCAATCCTTTATATGGCCTGACTTCATACAGCATAGTTGAACTTTGGTTTTCTCTAAAGGTGGAGAATAGTTTCATATTCCTATTTTATTATGCTTTGAGTCCATCATTTTATGTCTTGAAATAAATCAACCATGTAAAAATATACAGAAAAGCACTCTCCGTGGTAAAGGTAAGAGTCTTCAGATACTTTATTTACAATTTGAACTATAGCACATAGTGTAGAGACATTTATTTGGTACATCTTAAAGGGTGACTCTTATATAATTAAACTCATTGGGACCTTAATCATAATTCTGAGAGTAGTTCCTCATCTCCAGAGACACCACAAGGATAATCATCCTTGGGGCAGGACCTACAAAACCAGGTCCTCAGGGGAGAAAATCCACAAAAGAATAACCTGATGTCAAATCACCATGAGGGAAGAGCCCAAGTGGGGCATAATTTGCATATGCATAAACTCTGTTGTTTGAATTATGACCTTCAAAATAAGCGAATGTGTTGAGTATACAATTTTAATTTATATCTTTGCATATGACATCTGAATTTGCTCCCAGAAGACCAAGAAAGTTGATTTTAGAACAAGTAGTTGAAAACTTGATCCACATGCATGTAAACCTGAGTTCTCCCCTGTCATGGATTGGACTGTATTCTTCAAAAGGATATGTTGAAGTTCTAACCCCTGTAACTGTTAATGTGATTCTGTTCGTAAATAGGGTCTGTAAATATATTGTCAGTTAAATTAACATGAAGTCATATGGAATAGGATGGGTTCTTCTCGTATTCTTCTGAACATAGAAAAGATACTTAGAGACACAGAGAGAGAAAGATGAAGGATTCCACGTGATGTTGCAGCTGCAAACTATGAATTCTTGATGTTATCAGAAGCTAGAGTTGAAAGTAGAACAGATTCTTGGTCAAAGGTTCAGAAAGAATCCACATAGTTGACAGCCCTATGTTGGACTCTCCAGAACTGTAAGATAATAAAGTCTGTTGCTTAAAGTCACTATCTGATGATGGGATCTCTAGGAAAATAATACATTACTCTAGCAGTAAAAGTCTTCAGTTAATCACAACAAGACTAAGACAGGAAAATTTTTAAAATCTAACTTGAACATGAAAAAAGGTATAAAACATTTAAAGGGATAGCTTGAAAATCTATGAACTATAAGTCCTTATATAATCCCTTCTGAGGAAATTATTACCAACTGTTTCTTTCTATGCAAAGTGAGGAAATTCCATCTCTTAGAAAGGTGCATAGAGAGAAGGAAGAGTAGTAGAAATTGTAAAGTTTTTGTTGTCTTCTTTATATTTCCTCCCCCTTTCACTTCAGAATTAATTTCCAGGAAAGCAATAGTCCCAGATTTTTTTTTTTAAATTACAGTTCTTAGCATCCTTTGAAAATTAGAGAGACTACGAACATACAAGTTAAGTCATTAGACTGGATTTGCAGGAAGTTGGATGATTTTACTGGAAGACAAACTCCTTTTTGCTCTTCTTCCTTTATCCATCTCTAGATCTCAGACAAGTGGTCGAGTGCTCCTACAGCATCTTATGACAATGATCATGTCACAAGAATGGAAATCAAAAGATCGGGAGGTGAGAATCCTCCTACTCTGTTCTTCTTTATCAAGATTTCTTTGGTTATTCACAGCACTTGGCTGTTCCATATTAATTTCAGGATTAGGTTTTCCACTTCTGTAAGAAAGGCTGTTGGTAATTTGAGGGGCATTTTGTTGAATTCACAATTTTGTAGTAGTAGTATTGACATCTTGACAATAATGAGTCTTCTATTATATGAGCAAGAAATATCTTTCCATTTATTTAGGTCATCTTTAATTTCTTTTAGTATTGTTTTACAGTTTTCTGTGTTTAAGTCTTTCACTTCCTTGGCTACAGTTATTCCTAGTTATTTTATTCTTTTGGATAAGATTGTAAAAGTATTTATTATTATTACCTTTCCAGCTTGTTCATTGCTGATGTACAAACCCTGGTTGATTTTTGTGGGCCCTAAAAATTTTGCCCTGAGATAATCTCTAACTTTTAAACCTTAAACCAAAATTACTCTCTGAAATCTTCTTTGAACACAAAAAATAGTTTATTTTAATAAATAAAGTATCTATGCTTTGAGCATTGTGTTCTTTTAAAAAATTATTTATGTGAGATCAAACTGACATTTGCAATTGTCTTAGGCTGGGTTCTCTAGAAAAACAAAACAAATAGAGAGAGACAGAGAGACAGAGATATATTTATCTCAAGGGAATGGCTCACACAGTTGTATAGCCTGGCAAGTACCAATTTTATAGGTCAGCTGTCAAACTGGAGGCTTTTTCTGACTTGTGCAGCTGCAGGGGCTTATGAACCCAGGATAGGCATTACAGCAGGCTACTGGCCTCAGAGGCTGATGAATCCATGATCCACAGGTAAAATGGCAGGCTGTTGGTTCACAAACTACAAAGGCAACAGTTCCAAGATTGGCAGAAATACATCAAGTCACTGGTTTAAGACAAGATGATAATGAGCCAGTTGCAGGATCCTGAGGAAAAAAACAGTGCTCTTTCCCAGAGCTTTACCATATATACTGGAAGTAGGCCACAGCCTAAAGGAAACTCCTTTTTAACTGATTGATTGCTTATAGTAGACCTCATTATGAAAGTTATTACATTATATCATACCTCATCATGGGGGATAAATACATCACAACTGATACTACTTAGAATTGTGGCCCAGCAGAGTTGACACACAACTGTAACTATTACAGTTCACCCCTTGTCAACTTGGCATCTATACACATCTTCTTAAATCACACCTAATCTCCAAATAAAGACAATTCTAAAGCCATAATTGCAGCTGTCATGATACAACTAAAGTGTACAACTGAAAAATAATTAGTCTCATTTACTTATATTTTACAACTGAATAAAACAACAGCATCAAAAAATTCATGCACACATACAGGGAAGAAATGCTTATAACAATCACAGGCCTTTTTTCTGCAACTGGTCATGTGGCCCTAGCTGGTATTTAAGACTACCTTCTTCCACTATTCATTCCATATTCTTTTTGCCTTCAACAAGCATCTAAGGGGTCATTGTTCTTTGCCTGGCAATGTGAACCAAACCTTCATTCCTGAAGAGTCACTGCCATTACTTGTTGTTGTTGTTGTTAT